AAAAATAAATAAAAATAAATAAAAATAAATAAAAATAAATAAAAATAAATAAAAATAAATAAAAATAAATAAAAATAAATAAAAATAAATAAAAATAAATAAAAATAAATAAAAATAAATAAAAATAAATAAAAATAAATAAAAATAAATAAAAATAAATAAAAATAAATAAAAATAAATAAAAATAAATAAAAATAAATAAAAATAAATAAAAATAAATAAAAATAAATAAAAATAAATAAAAATAAATAAAAATAAATAAAAATAAATATAAAAATAAATATAAAAATAAATATAAATATAAAAATAAATATAAAAATAAATATAAAAATAAATAAAAATAAATAAAAATAAATAAAAATAAATAAAAATAAATAAAAATAAATAAAAATAAATAAAAATAAATAAAAATAAATAAAAATAAATAAAAATAAATAAAAATAAATAAAAATAAAAATAAATAAAAATAAATAAAAATAAATAAAAATAAATAAAAATAAATAAAAATAAATAAAAATAAATAAAAATAAATAAAAATAAATAAAAATAAATAAAAATAAATAAAAATAAATAAAAATAAATAAAAATAAATAAAAATAAATAAAAATAAATAAAAATAAATAAAAATAAATAAAAATAAATAAAAATAAATAAAAATAAATAAAAATAAATAAAAATAAATAAAAATAAATAAAAATAAATAAAAATAAATAAAAATAAATAAAAATAAATAAAAATAAATAAAAATAAATAAAAATAAATAAAAATAAATAAAAATAAATAAAAATAAATAAAAATAAATAAAAATAAATAAAAATAAATAAAAATAAATAAAAATAAATAAAAATAAATAAAAATAAATAAAAATAAATAAAAATAAATAAAAATAAATAAAAATAAATAAAAATAAATAAAAATAAATAAAAATAAATAAAAATAAATAAAAATAAATAAAAATAAATAAAAATAAATAAAAATAAATAAAAATAAATAAAAATAAATAAAAATAAATAAAAATAAATAAAAATAAATAAAAATAAATAAAAATAAATAAAAATAAATAAAAATAAATAAAAATAAATAAAAATAAATAAAAATAAATAAAAATAAATAAAAATAAATAAAAATAAATAAAAATAAATAAAAATAAATATAAAAATAAATATAAAAATAAATATAAAAATAAATATAAAAATAAATAAAAATAAATAAAAATAAATAAAAATAAATAAAAATAAATAAAAATAAATAAAAATAAATAAAAATAAATAAAAATAAATAAAAATAAATAAAAATAAATAAAAATAAATAAAAGTAAATAAAAATAAATAAAAATAAATAAAAATAAATAAAAATAAATAAAAATAAATAAAAATAAATAAAAATAAATAAAAATAAATAAAAATAAATAAAAATAAATAAAAATAAATAAAAATAAATAAAAATAAATAAAAATAAATAAATAAACAAAAATAAATAAAAATATTAAATTGATTCATTATTTTGATTTATTTTTCATATATTACATGAAAATTAACTATACAGGGTCCCGACGATTTCTTAAACGGTAACAGATAGAAAGTTGGTTAAAGTCGACAAAAGTTGCACAGTTCTGTGCTTATTAAAATTTGCAAAGAAACCTTTAATATCTACAACGAGATTTAAAATATCGGACAAAAAGAAATGACACATTTCATAATTTATCCGATATTTTGAATCTGTCTGTAGATATTAAAGGTTTCTTGGCACCATTTTAATGAGCACAAAACTGCGCAACTTTTGTCTAATTCAACCAAGTTTATATCTGTTACCGTTTAAAAAATATCAATACTGTCCCTATGAAATAGTTAATATTGTAAATACGTACCTACTTATCTAAAATACTGTAAGTACTCATAATAACTAAGGGACAGCAAATCTGGGCGCAAATGAGACTATAATTTTCTAGACATTTTTCTGGGGCCGAAAAAGGTTGTGACGCAAATGGGCCGGGCGCAACTGGGTCTATATCGAGTAGGGTCAGGTTCACCACGTGATAAATTTCATTTTCATTTATAAATTTTATTTATAAAACTAAATAAATTACCTTTTCATAGAAAACCCAACGAGAATGAGATATTTGTCAATTGACGCAGTCTTTGTTTTGGTGGCATTCACTATTACATGTAAATCCAGAGGTTACACATTTACATTTTTTGATACATATTTTGGTAAATTGACTGTTCGTTAATAAACTAGGCAGGAATCTTGATATTTTGGGTAACTAAAACTTGAAGTCTGCCACTCGACTCATACTCGAAACCCCGGAATCTTCTAAGCATGCCGCTGACGCTTTGAGAAACTAGCGAAGTGATCCCTTTGCGGCGTATGAGTCATAGAGAGGAAGTTCTCGATTGTTGTGGAAACCCAAGAGTATTCTCGTACAGAGTTGGGCTTTATATAAATAGCGTGAGTGGTCGACGGACGGGAAGATTGAGTTTAAGTGTTGGATAGGAAAGATAAATTGTAATAAATAAATTAGAATTGTGCCTAAGTATTATAAAAATTAATTGGTACGTCATATATAAATTGTAAATAAATAAACTATAAATAAATTAAGCAATCGTTACAAACTTATTAAAGTAACTGGTTAATATTAAAGCAGTAGTATAAAATCTCTACATTAATCTAAACGAATATATGTATATAGTTAGCATACTAACCGGTTAGTTTGTAAACTAGCGGCTGGTTGCCCGCTATATTGCAAAAATGGGCGGATTCTTTCAAAATAACAGGGGTGCGTTCAGAAATCAAGAGCGTTAAATTTTCAATCGTCCGGACAAAATTCGTCGGAACGTTTATTTTTGCCCGATAAATACGAACGGTACGTGCAAAGTATTGTCAAATCAAGTTTTTGGTTATGTCTTTTCTATTATCTGAGATTGTAGGAATTAACAAAAATATATAACATCATTGATGTCCACATAAACTTTTTTATGTAAACACTCAATTCATTACCTTTAATCCTGTGTCATAAAATTTTATCATTTTCTATAATGGAATTACCATCGTTTCCTACAACTAGACGATAATTGATGGAATTAATTATCTCACTCATACTCATATTTAAATATTTTTTAATCAAAAAGTAAAATAGAAAATTAAATACTAGGTGGTTTTCTTAGGTATAATTAGGGTTATGTCATACTGCGCAAGTCGAGTAAAAATTACCCTACTCAACACGGTGGGTAAAATTTCTTCATCCCGACGCGTTTTTCTTTTAAATAGGAACGGCTGGTGTAATTCGTCCAAATAAAACGTTCCATATTTAGGAACGCTTTTTAGAATCTAGACAACGTTCGGAGGCATTTACCCTACATTTCTGAACGCACCCCAGTGCTCGACTGAATTACAATAACCGGATATACAATTAAATCGTGATTCATAAGGAAAACCGAAAAAAGAGACAAACACAAAGAGACTTGGTTTTCATATACAAGTCCTGTTTGAATTCTGTTTTCTTATTTTTGAGTGTTTTGAAAAAAATTAGTTGAAAAAGTGTTTATTTCTATTTAAGTTACAACTTAGGATTCACCCTGTATATTTAATTAGGAAAAATGATGAGAGAAGATCGAATTAAGTCAGGATCTTAGACTATTATGAACAAATTTGAAATATATTTTTGTTTCTTTTTTGTACTATATTATTATAATCAACAAAGTGATTTTTTGAATAATTTTCTACTAATTTCAGATATTGCAATACATTTAAATTAATTTTAATTTATTTCAAAACAAAACCTAATTATTTTAACACTATACTTTACTGGATGTTACTGAAATACGTGTTAATAAAAGATTTAAAAAATAATACAACACGCATGAAAGTTGTGTCACAGGTCGTCGATGTTTTTTAATAAATTATCGCATCCTATGTAAGGGTGCCTTCTGTCTTATCGGGTAGAATTGTCGATTGTATCTGAATGATGAATCTTGTCAAAAGTCTTGCTGTTTGATTAAAAGGTGCCTTGGAATGCAGAAATTAAAGTACTTTGCTTCTAATGATAACCGGCTTTATTTTATCTTCTTAAACTTTGTATTCATCAACCACATAACAAACAGTTGATTGATGAATATATTTTTAAATAACAGAAAATATACCGGTTTAAAAATACTTCTATGAATAAAAGCCTACCCTGTGTTTTGTTTACTCCTTGCCCGCGGTATGAAGTCTAGCAATATAGAGACAAACGGGCCGCTTCTCGAATTCGCCGGAATGATCGCGGTGCGGCGCATGAGTCATAGAAAGGCAGTTCTCGATCGTTCTGGAAAGTCTAGAAACTACCTGTACAGAGTTGGGCTTGGTATAAATAGCGCGAATTGTCGACGGACGGGAAGATTGAATTTAAGTGTTGGGCAGATAAATAAATAAATAAGAATTGTGAGTTATAATAGTATTATATAAATTAATTAGTACGTCATAAATAAATTGTAAATGGGTGTGTTTTAAATAAATGAATTATAAATAAATTAAACTATCGTTACAATATCATTTGTTTTAATTTTAAAGTTGCAGTTGTTTTACGTAATAGGTTCAAATGTTCCTCAAATTAAAAAAATCTCGTCATGTCGAGTCTAAAAGTCTTTTCTTGACACTGTCTTTTGATTTGTTTAAAGAAATGGTGTGGATTATCTTAAATTCGCCGTGAAGTTATTGTTGAGTGAGCGCTTGCATATTTATTTAGTAATTTATTTTAAACGGGCTCATATGGGTGAGAGTAAAATAGGTCTTTAAGTGAGAACGAGTCGGAGCTTATGTATATTTAAGCGTGGTATTTTCCACAAAGTAAGAAAGCTGTATATCTCGCCTAAGTGTTCAAGTGATCAGTTTGATTTCGCGCAGAGCTTGTTGCTAGACGGAAGTCTTTGGAATATTTGAAAATACGTTAAACGGCATTTCCCAGGGTTGGCTTTGATTTTAGTTCATTATTTATGTAATTGAAACATGATTATATTACTTACACGGAAATGGATCATAGAGTAGCATGTGGTAATAAATGCTTGTTAGTTTTGAACAAGTTGTAAACAATATTATTTGGCAATAACGTATTTGTTGGTTGCCTGCTTATGACGTGACCCATGACAACTTCAGTGGCGTACGTGAGATTTTACATAAAATTGAATTACTCCTTCAATTGTACAGGGTGTTTAATTAAGAATGGGACATAGAACAACTGAACATTTTCTGATTAAAAATTAGACGATTAAACAAAACATGCTTAGATAAAATGTTACTCGTTTCCGACATAAAGGGTGTTAAAGTTGAAAAGTCGGAAAAAATTTAAAGGCTATAATTTTTTTATTATTCAGTATAATTTTACTAAATTCGGTAAACGTTTATGATGTCATAAGGTAAAAATCTTGCTATTGCCGTACGGCATGGATAAATAACACCTTCACACTCTCTAAATTATACGCCACTGTCCAAAAACCTATTTGGACTATAATTTTAAATTTTTTTCTTAAATAAATTATGTAGGGGAAACGGGTATAGAACTGGGTACCGAGGTAGAACGGGGCAACGGGTTACCACGTTTAAAATTTTCGCGGGTTAGCGCAGGACCACCATCTCAATATATTCATCTCACTATATCCTACGAATGCGTTGGCAATATATTTGACCTTACCGGTAGTCTTTCGAGAGCTATAACGTCGAATGCATGATCTAAGAAAGTCCACTGTAAAAATTTACGAATTTGGAAACAACGGAAAGTGTTTAATTTTACTAGCCTCATATTTTGTGGGGAATACCTTTTCCTCATAAAACCAAATTATTTAGTTTAAAACTTGTGTTATTTATTTAGTCACAATCGCAACGCATACTCCTGGGGCAGAATGGGGAGAGGCAGAACGGGGCATACCCCGTTCCGCCCCACGTATATGTTGAACTGCTATACTTTATTATAAATATTGTTTAATAATGTTAACTCTTCTCAATACGTCGTAGCCATGAAGGTTGATCTTTATGCAGCAACATTTTACCATTATTATCCTAAATATATTATTTTTTCTAGATGGTTCGAACGTCCATTGATGTGCCCCATAGGTGAGGCAAAACAAATTAATAACAAATAAATTAATAACAAAATAAGGAAAAGGGAATAATAAAATATTTTTGTAACAAGCGTTGGAAATAATATTAAATATGACTTCCAAAGAAAAATTGTTAGGATTTGAAGGTACTTTTTCTCAAAAAAAAAAATTTCAAACATTAGGTACCCCGTTCTACCCCGGATTCCCCTACTGTTGTTGAAAGCAAAATTTCAAAATTTCAGAAATTCAAAATGAATTAAAATAAAAAGCATCTAACTTTGTGTGCGAATATCTCGAAAACCAATCACTTCATAAGTTTCCAACAAGAGTACATAATTTATGTAAAAAACATCAAAAAAATAAAAATTATAGTACAAATAAGTTTTTGGACAGTGGCGTAAAATTTAGAAGGGATGATGGTGTTACTTACCCACTTACGCCACTTGCACAGTTCATTTAACTGATTTTTTTTGCTGATCGGTGTATCTAATAACAATAAAAACGTTTGCCGAATTTAGTTACAATATACTGAGTATTAAAAAAATTATAGCCATTAATAATTTTTGAATTATCAACTTTAACGATTAAAATTTTACCTAAGTATGATTTATTTAATCGTCTTTTTTTTAACGTTTTAGGTCCCATTTTTAATTCAACACCCTGTAGATATTTTTTAAAAATATATTTTTACATATTCTAGGAGAGTCTACATATCAGTCGTTTCCAATATATACATGTATTTCAATAACACCTCCTGTATTTAATATTTTCAACATCTTAGAATAACAAGGTCCAATCTGATTTTTGAGCGATCCCAACATTCTATTTTTTCAGAACATACCTTTAACTGATCACCTTGTGATATGTACAAGTTGTGCGCACAAATTAGAACAATCATTTGATTTCAAAACAAAGCTACTGAACAATTATAGTTATTTAAATAGTTTTAAATCCGAAGAAACTCCTTTAATTAATATTGAAGAATTTCTTGCTCGTCCTACATTTAGCGAAGGCGTTAAGCTGGAAGTAGAAAAAGTATGTTTCCTTTGTTTGAGATATTGGCCAATAGATAATTTAACGCCTCTGGATATGTTAAGAGAAAATTGGCGCTACCAGAAGGACTTATTCGAAAAATGTATACCTGAAGTAGTAAGTTTTTTTTAAAATTTTTTTTTGGAGGTGTTTGAATTAGAAAAGAATTTTAACAATGTTGAAGGGTTTGCTTTGATATTAACACGTTTTTTCTTAGAACTCGTTGATCTTTCAGCTGTTTTGAGGTGTACTGGAAAAACCATGCCAGTCACTTTCTGGTTACCATCTCTCTTATACACAGACATATATTCCAAATTACGTTACTAAATGTGCTATTCAGTTATCATTTCTAAAAAAAAGGATGCTTAAGATGTGGAATATATTCCAGATGCTTATACCTAACCATAAAATAAATTGTGAGCAATAGTAGAGATGTGATTTGATTTCAAATCAAGCTCACGGGGATTCTCAGAGCATCAAAATAAATTACCTGAAACAATATCACAGGAAGAAACATGCTCATATATATATATATATATATATATATATATATATATATATATATATATATATATATATATATAGATAGCAAACAAGTTGGATAGACCAGAAGGTCCTAGAATATCTTCCATCAACAATATGTGTTCAACAATATGACCGTAAATTACAGTAGGTACCGAAATTGTAACTCTAATCAGAGTTGATATGGAAGTAACACTGCTGTCAAACTTGTTTTAAACAGTTACTTGATATCTATCATGCTATACAACACTGCCTGTGAACAAGGTGCTTACAAATGAAGAATTTTTTTTATATGTGAGTTTGGCAGAAATAATGGACCCATGATTAAATGGGTTGGGTCTCAATTTGAGCTATGCGCTATGCGCCCAACAGAATGGTGGACATATAGAGCATATCATTGGCTATTATAATAGACACTAACTTTGTCATTTTTGTTAAATCTGTTAATATTTATAGGTTAGCAATATATACAGTGTGGTCCAATGAAAAGTATCCACCCCCCTTTTCTTGGTTCCCTCAGATTTAAAGAAGAAATGGTCAAACACGTCGTTTTTTGTTTGGAGGAATACATATTTTGTTCCTATTGCATCATTGACACTTCAACCCTCGAGCAGTGGGGTGAACGACCCCTAGAATTTAGATAGGGAAAGTACTAAGTGTGGCACATTTTTGAAAAGGTAATTTTATAAGAAATATAGAAATACCAATATTGTTGTCAAATTTCAATTTTAGCACCTTCTTGAGGGTAAAAATTAGTCATCTACCACTTCCTGTTTTCCTGAAATTTAATGCACAAATGCTCGGACACGTCGATTTTTGTTTATAGAGAATATTTTTTAACCCGCATCTTCAAACACTTGGTGGGGACAATCACATCCTTAAAATTTTAAAGTGGGGAAAGAGGGGAGAAAGCTAAATATTTTAAAAGGCAAACAATTTATTTTCTTATGATATCCTATTTATTGGATTTTACTTGAACAGTTAATCCGAAAACGGCATTAGAAAACTCAACCCTGCAGTTTTGGTATCATACATATTGAAAAATGTTGGTTATTAAGAGTGAAAACAACTACAATAAGTAGGTACTAAATTACTTATTTTAATAAAAACTTACGACTGAAATTCCAATAAAAACTAGATCTACTATATCAAAACGAAATTTCTGATTTGTTTTCGTTTTTTGTTAAAATAAAAACAAGTAGTAAAGGAATAAAATAAGAAAACAATTTAGGCAAACGATCATTCTGATTTCTTTACAATTTGGTTGCTTTTAAAATTATTTTAATTTTATTGTAAAAAAATTATTTATTCCATTCCAGAACGTATTGAAATTGTGAAACTTTATTTTCAAAATAATAGTTGCGCTAGGCTACTGCTCGGTTGTTTGATAACAATCATCCAAATAAAAATGCGAATCATTACAAAATAGTCCAAAAGTTTTCCGATACTGGATCTGTATGTAATAATAAAATTCAGATGCAGCGAGTCGTCAGAAATGAAGCTGTAGAAGTCGCTGTTTTGGGACATGTTAAATTGGACCATACGCAAAGTACTCGTCAACTAGCTGAAGTCTCGAGGGTCTCTCGTTCATCTATAATAGGGATTTTAAAAGCTCACAAATTTCATCCGTAGAAAACTAGATTAGTACAAGAGCTAAACGAGGATGATCCTGATAGAAGAAATGAGCCAGTGTTTAATTGCAGATCCTGACATATTATTTAATATTTGTTTTTCCGATGACTGTACATTTCATTTGGATGGAGCTTTCAATAGGCATAATTGCCGTTACTGGGATGATAGTAACCCACATTTATTCCGTGAGTGTCATACCCAACACCCTGAAAAAAATAAATGTCTGGTGTGGCCTATTAGGTACTTAACCACATTGTAGGACCACTTTTCGTTCCTGGAAATTTAACTAGTGAAGTGTACCTAAACATGCTTGAAGATGAAATTGACCCTCTTATAACAGAAATATTAGAAAATAACCCAAATCATGATATTTATCACTTTCATTTCCAGCAAGAAGGAGCACCTCCGCACTATGTTGGTACTGTAAGAGAAATTTTAAATAACCGGTACCTTGGACAGTGTATTGGAAGGAGAGGCCCAACTAAATGGCCTGTAAGATCACCGGATTTATCGCCTCTGGACTATTTTCTTTGGAGACACTTGAAAAATAAATGTTCTGCTACGAAGCCTAATTCCATAGAAGATCTTCGCCAACGGATAATAGATGAGTGCAGGAGAATAACACCTGAAAATGTTCGCAATACGTTTGAACAAAATTTGTATTATTGTATGGAAGCAAATGGGTCACATTTTTAACACCTGTTAAATTAACGTTTTAATAATTCTTTAAAAAATCACTTTTACAGTTTATTACTTTTTTAGAAAGTAGGTAAACTTCAAAAACTAACAAAAATGTAATTTCCTATTGAAATGTAATTTCCCATAAAATTACCTTTTCAAAAATGTGCCACTCTTGGTACTTTCCTAATCTAAATTTTAGAGGTTGTTCACCCCATACTCGAGGCTCGAAGCGTCGATACTGAAATTAGGAAAAAAATGTGTCCTGCTCCAAACAAAAATCGACGTGTCCAAGCATGTCTGCTTCTAGGTGCATAATTTTCATCCTCAAGAGGGCGCTAAAATCGGAATTTGACACAACAATGTTGGCACTACTGAATTGCTTATAAAATTATTTTTTTAAAAATGTGCCACACTTAGTACTTTCCCTATCTAAATTCTAGGGGTTGTTCACCCCACTGCTCGAGGGTTAAAGTGTCAATAATGCAATTAGGAAAAAAATGTGTCCCCCTCCAAATGACGTATCCGAGTATTTCTTCTTTAAATCTGGGGGAACCAAAGAAAAGAGGGGTGTATACTTTTCATTGGACCACACCGTATATATTTTTGCTTCAGTACTGTATATTTCTGGTCATACTGTATTTAGGGTATGGTGAAATATTTTGATTTGGTTTGCCGATTTAATTATTTTCACTTGTGTAAAATCGGCTTAACATTTATGCTGATAGAACGGTTTCAAGTAAAAAGTAGACTCAGTCTGTCGTTAGTACCTATTTGAAAGTTCACGTTGCAATCGGTAGTGACCTTTTGTATAAGTAATATTACATTAACTTGCTTTGGAAATTACTCTGGAATCTCAGGACTTCCACTTATTGTTACAATATTGCGTTGCGCCTTGAAAATAACAAAACAACGTCGAACGTCGGCATCGCCAGCAAGGGGCCCCTTTGCACGCCGATAACCATTGTAGAAGACAAGCATCACTGTGTAACAAAATATTTTGCTATCACCAAGGTTCTTCGAATTATAAAAACATCCTACGTATGTGGATGAGTGTAGTTCACACGTGAATTGTCATAATTTGCTTTGAAGACAATAAACCCCTCAATATGGCCACCTTAAGATGAAATAAAGGCTATTGAAAGTTAATCGTTTTATAAGTCAAGAAGGTAAACAACCATATAATTTTTGGATCAGGCCCTTCCATTGGACTAACAACATCGATCGTCTCAAACCTGATAAAATATTATTCCTACTGTGAAATTCAAGAGAATAATTCAAACAAGAGTTTTTAAGTAAAGCTGAAACAATGCAGCAAACAAATGCTTGACTATGACTAATCTGCACCCAATGACGGACAACTACTAGACTAATTTTGTTTACAAAAATCGAATTACAAACATTCACGGTGTTATCCACGTAGTTGACAAATTATTATGAGAGATTATGGGAGAGTCTTGTTACAATGATTGTGTATAATTCGGTATTGACTTAACATATGGCTCTAAAACGCACAAAATGCTTTCAAAATTATATTACAGTATATTTGCATTCTTAATGCCAGTTGTTATCATTTTCTTATATTTTTATCGTTGCAACTATCATAGTTGAAGGTGTTTTCCAGAAAAGTAGGCAATTAATTTTGAAGTGTGACAGTAGCACAAAGCAAGCGTCGTAGATGTACGTACTGATTCGTTTGTAAAACGCATGCTCGCCCTTAGATAAACAAACTCGCACAAATCATCCCCACTCAAATTAGGATTCTCCACTCGATCATTCACTGTTGGGTTCTAATTAACAGTGCTGTTCCTAAAGTGGCACCGGGAAACAGTAACAAAGCCTACTACACATAACACGAGGCTAATGGCCTTAGTAGTCGATGCCGATGACACCAAATTAAAAAAAAATAAGGGCTTAATTAGGAATGAATGGATTAGTTGATTAGTTTTTCGTCGTTGTCTGTGATTGATGACCGGCATTTTTACTGGTCTACGTTCTGGTCTATTGGGACACCGGCCAAGACAAAATACATAAATTACATTAAATATGTAGGCTGGTTGACGAGCTAATAGATCAGATTCCATAAATTCCGAGGATGTAGAATGGGCCTAGTTAGGCCTAAGTGCTTTGGGTGCAACCCAATTTATTTAACGCCGGCCTATTTTTAACTACGAGGTTTAAACACCGATGCTAGTGGGCGCTATACTATCAGTGATGACATACGTGCCAAAAAAGCTGAAAGGCACTATACCTACGTTTCTAGTATACTTAAGTTGGGTAGAGGGGGGCAGGTTCGGACGGTTTTGGCTTGAGTCAATTTGTAGCTTTATTTGGGCAAAAACAAAACTTCTAATAACAAAGATATCTTGCCTATTATATTTTCTCCCTGTTACCATAGTTATGTTTGAATTATCGTTCAAAGTTTTTTGTCAAAAAGGGTTACAAAAAAAAGTTGCATTTGTCCGAAGGTGCCCCATGGTGGGGCAGTTCTGGACGAACATGGAGTAGCTTACATATACAATAATAACAGGTTTTTCGGTGAAAAATATAATTAAATTATAAATAACTTCTAACAAAGTTTAGGTACCCACCATATACTAAACTTTGAGGAACTTTGGTACCTACTAAACTAAAAAAACAACAAAATATATTCTGAGAAACATAGAACTAAAACAAAAAAATAGTTTTCGCGTCAGAAGAAAGTTTTAGAACTAACAGAGTAAATAAAAATGCATACGTATTTATTTTAAATTTAGAGAACCAAAATTTACGCTAAATTTAAAAAAACTTGCCAGGCGGGTATTTGCCAGCAACAGAAGTTGGCCTGGGGGAGTTTTGCCTCAATGTCGGATCTTGCAATAGTGGAGATGTCATCAACATTAGGGAAATGAAAACGATTGTGCAAATGTCTCAAATATTTTACAACAAATTCTCCATACTCTGCAAGCTGTATTACTTGCCCGACATAATAAACAACCATTTTCTTAGTAGGAAATCTCACCAAGACATAATCATCACATGATATCTTCTCATCATCTGCAAAAACAAAAATTGAGACATCAGAAAACCAAAAAAGTAGAACAGTATTTTTTACCTTAAAGCTTATCCATTTCATCGTAATCAGACTCCATGTCAATATCTGATTCAGATGATGCAGTTTTGAGAAAGTTTTATTTCTTTTTTGTTGATTCAACCAAATCAGGCTCGGAATCTGATGAAGGCGAGTCACTTTGCCTTCCTCTTTTCATTGTCTTCCTAGTATATTTATTATCCTTTTTTTATTGGACATTTTGTTTTGTCATTGGTTTTTTATTTTGGAAATCTTGTTTGATCGAACTATCTATTAATATCTTTTTTTTTTCGTGTCAGACTTGGCTAACTTTGATCTCCTCATTACTTCTAATTCTTCAATGCGACATTTCTCTGGTGTGCTTGTGTAGATTCTTGATTTTCCAAAACGAGATTTCCTATTAGTTTTTCGAGGTGGTGCCTTCGGAAATGGTTTAATATCTAATGGCTTTAGAACATGCATTGAAATAATATTGATGGATGGCTTGGCTACCTCATTTACAATTTCGTCAACTATGGATCGCACAATTGCAGTTACTTCTTCTTTTTCAGTAAAAGTGGATATTGGGTTGGTAAATAAAAGAGCAGTCGCCGAGGTAGACGGTAGATTTATTTGAGTCTCATCATGGTTAGATATGGACATATTAGCGTAAATTGCCTCCTGGTCATTTGATTTAGGTATAATACTAGAGTCAATAGTAGTATCAGCTTACGATTTCTTGATATCATTATTTACTTGTAGTTCTGGATATGGCCTGTCTGTCGCATATGCTCCAAAATAGTAATAATCTGAAAAAAATAGTCTGTTGACTGGCCATAGTCCGGTGCTTGAAAAGCCATTTATAATATTTTTGGGTATAAAACTTTGTAAGTAAGGCTCTGACGTCAATTTAGTTATATTATAAATTGTTATTGGTGTTCCTGGGTTAGATAAGATGTAATCGTTATAACTGACTTTACATTTTTGCTTAAAGTGACCATAGACTGCTTTGTCCAGCGGCTGCATCTTATGCGTACAGTGTGGTGGGAAGGATAAAAGCACTATACCATTATCGCGGGAATAATTAATTGCTTCTACCGACACATGTGTCTCATGGTTATCCATTAACAAAAGTATAGGATTTTCTGGACTGCTTTGCGTATGGTTTTTTATGTGTTCTAATAATTTAACAAATAATGTAGTCGTCATCCATCCAGATTTTGATCTATACCCTACAGCTCCAGTTACAGAGCCATTTAGGAAGTAATTTTTTATTCGAATGCGGGGAAATATGTACATTGGAGGAATTGTGCTACCTGTAGCTGAAATAATACCACAAAATGTAACCAGTTTGCCTCTTTCCCCTGAAACACATTGACCTATAACTCTCTTGCCAGTTTCGGCAATTATTCTAGGCGCCTGCAATACAGTAGATATACCAGTCCCATCTGTGTTCCAAATACGATTGGAACCAAACGCGTATTTAGCTTGAACGTCAGAATAGTTCTTAAAAAATTCTTCAACATTGTGTTTATTGAAAGCAGAAGCCCGTGCTACACTGGTGTTTTCGGGTTTCCTCAATGATCATTTTGGATGACGTTTCATAAAAGATTTCATCCACTCGACGCCAGTCATCTGGTTTGTGTTCCACTGAGCAGGAAAAGTTTTTTTTAATTTAAATGCATATTCATATGCTAATTTGCGGGTTGCCTGATATGTCAAACCGTATAAAATTTGTGATGACTGTTTGAGATACATTTCTAGTTCATTTTCCTCCTTTAATGAAAATACTTGCCGCGTAACATATTTTGATAAGTGCGGAATCTCTAACGGATCCTCGTGACTATCATTACCAGAGTCAGAATTATTCGCATTTTTAACCTTAGCCTTCATAACTCTGTCATGTAGAGTAGATTTTTTGATACAAAACGTGCATGCAGCAGTACGAATCGACATATTATTATGAAGAACATTCGAGACAGCTTCCTTTATGGTTTGTTCCGAAACTTCAGGCCGATTTCGTTTCTTAACATAATTTCGAACCATGCTAAAATAAATTTTGATTGTTTCATACAAAATAAAGAATAAAGAATTTTTTTATATTTAAATTGAATTAATTTATTGGGGCACCTTCGGACAGTCCGAATGTGCCCCCACTCTCTCCTGTCCGAACGTGCCCCACTCTCTCCTGTCCGAACGTGCCCCACACGACATATTGTAAAGAACACAAAATATCAAAGCACACAGATGTTCCGCCAATTGATATATAGGTTATGTACTGTAAAAATCTAGTCTTTTTTACGTATATCACTTAAAAAATGAAAAACCTACTATTTTACACTCTTTCGAATAGGTTAAACAAAAACTTCTTAAGCTCCCTCAATTTTGTTTCTTGAAATAACTTTTTAATTTCATAAAATACCGGCATGAAATTTTGTCAGCCAGCCTTTCACAAGCACTACTACCAACTGTAAAAATAACGAATGGCGTCTCGTTTTGGAAGGCGGTAAATTTGATTTGTCCGGAGGTGCCCCATGTCCGAACGTGCCTCCCTCTACCCTAGCATTCATAGTATAGCATAAGCCAAAATGATTTGATTGTTATATTTTATGGTGAATAATTATTGCTTCTCAAGCAATATTAAACATGTCAAACCTTTACATTGGCTCCCAAATCGTGTTTTTTAGGATTTCGCTTTGGTAAATGACCCATTCCTTTGTAATAATTGCATAGAATCTTTACAAAATCTGTTCAATTTCGTGTTATCGTTTAACGACTCTGAAGAATTATTTAAGAGCTACGTTCATACAGATAATGTAAATTTGAAAAAAATAGATTTAAGACACGTTTACGAACTCAATGAGGATTCCGAAATCAAATGTGACACCGATTGTCTTGATATTAAAGAAGAAATTGAAGCATTATCGCCCTGTCCCGAACTCAAAATTGAAGATGATAATAAGGAAGATGATCAGCTGCTTAGTACTGATTTTAGTCATAAAAGGTCAGTCGAAATGGCTATTTTGTATACAGGGTGATCCTAACCGATAAACGATGGTGCTAAATTAATATAGCAGATAGATAAATAAATAAAAAGAAAACATGGGGAAATGGGGGTGAAAATTTATTTGGGAGTATCAATGTTTTTGGTTCTCTTTAAAGTTAGAAACATGAAAATTGGAATTGCAGCTACTAAGTACAAATTAATAGTAATGTGTTTTAGGGTTTTTATATTTTTATATCTTAAGGGGGGCAAACGGGGGGTGAAAGTTTGTATGGGAGTATATATTTTTTTTGTTCTCTTTGAAGTTAGAAACATGAAAATTTGAATTGCAGCTAATGAGTACAAATTAATAACACGTGTTTTGGTGTTTTTGGATTTCACATCTTAAGGGGGGGAAATGTGGGGTGAAAGTTTATTTGGAAATATCGATTTTTTTAAAGGTAGAAACTTGAAAAGTGGAATTGTAGGTTCTCATCATAAATAAATAATGAAGTGTTTCAGGGTTTTTGCATTTTAACATTTTAAAGGGGTAATGGGGAGGTGAAAATTTGTTTAATAGTATGTATATTATATGTTTGTTATTTAAAGTTTGAAACATACAAATTTGATTTACAGCTACTGATTAAAAATCAAAAATGATGTGTTTCATGGTTTTTGGATTTTCATATTTTAAGGGGGGAAAATAGGGGTGAAAATTTGTATAGAAGTATACACTTTTTGAACGTTGGAACTTGACAATTATAATTGTAGCATAAATAAATAATGACGTGCTCTGTGGTTTTTAGATTTTTGTATGGTAGTACCATAAAAATTAATAAAAATTAATAAAAATTAATAAAAATTAATAAAAATTAATAAAAATTAATAAAAATTAATAAAAATTAATAAAAATTAATAAAAATTAATAAAAATTAATAAAAATTAATAAAAATTAATAAAAATTAATAAAAATTAATAAAAATTAATAAAAATTAATAAAAATTAATAAAAATTAATAAAAATTAATAAAAATTAATAAAAATTAATAAAAATTAATAAAAATTAATAAAAATTAATAAAAATTAATAAAAATTAATAAAAATTAATAAAAATTAATAAAAATTAATAAAAATTAATAAAAATTAATAAAAATTAATAAAAATTAATAAAAATTAATAAAAATTAATAAAAATTAATAAAAATTAATAAAAATTAATAAAAATTAATAAAAATTAATAAAAATTAATAAAAATTAATAAAAATTAATAAAAATTAATAAAAATTAATAAAAATTAATAAAAATTAATAAAAATTAATAAAAATTAATAAAAATTAATAAAAATTAATAAAAATTAATAAAAATTAATAAAAATTAATAAAAATTAATAAAAATTAATAAAAATTAATAAAAATTAATAAAAATTAATAAAAATTAATAAAAATTAATAAAAATTAATAAAAATTAATAAAAATTAATAAAAATTAATAAAAATTAATAAAAATTAATAAAAATTAATAAAAATTAATAAAAATTAATAAAAATTAATAAAAATTAATAAAAATTAATAAAAATTAATAAAAATTAATAAAAATTAATAAAAATTAATAAAAATTAATAAAAATTAATAAAAATTAATAAAAATTAATAAAAATTAATAAAAATTAATAAAAATTAATAAAAATTAATAAAAATTAATAAAAATTTATAAAAATTAATAAAAATTAATAAAAATTAATAAAAATTAATAAAAATTAATAAAAATTTATAAAAATTAATAAAAATTAATAAAAATTAATAAAAATTAATAAAAATTAATAAAAATTAATAAAAATTAATAAAAATTAATAAAAATTAATAAAAATTAATAAAAATTAATAAAAATTAATAAAAATTAATAAAAATTAATAAAAATTAATAAAAATTAATAAAAATTAATAAAAATTAATAAAAATTAATAAAAATTAATAAAAATTAATAAAAATTAATAAAAATTAATAAAAATTAATAAAAATTAATAAAAATTAATAAAAAATTAATAAAAATTATTAAAAATTAATAAAAATTAATAAAAATTAATAAAAATTAATAAAAATTAATAAAAATTAATAAAAATTAATAAAAATTAATAAAAATTAATAAAAATTAATAAAAATTAATAAAAATTAATAAAAATTAATAAAAATTAATAAAAATTAATAAAAATTAATAAAAATTAATAAAAATTAATAAAAATTAATAAAAATTAATAAAAATTAATAAAAATTAATAAAAATTAATAAAAATTAATAAAAATTAATAAAAATTAATAAAAATTAATAAAAATTAATAAAAATTAATAAAAATTAATAAAAATTAATAAAAATTAATAAAAATTAATAAAAATTAATAAAAATTAATAAAAATTAATAAAAATTAATAAAAATTAATAAAAATTAATAAAAATTAATAAAAATTAATAAAAATTAATAAAAATTAATAAAAATTAATAAAAATTAATAAAAATTAATAAAAATTAATAAAAATTAATAAAAATTAATAAAAATTAATAAAAATTAATAAAAATTAATAGAAATTAATAAAAATTAATAAAAATTAATAAAAATTAATAAAAATTAATAAAAATTAATAAAAATTAATAAAAATTAATAAAAATTAATAAAAATTAATAAAAATTAATAAAAATTAATAAAAATTAATAAAAATTAATAAAAATTAATAAAAATTAATAAAAATTAATAAAAATTAATAAAAATTAATAAAAATTAATAAAAATTAATAAAAATTAATAAAAATTATTAAAAATTATATTAATAACACTACATGCGAGCAAAGTCGCGAGCAAAGCCGCGGGCAACAGCTAGTATATTTATGAGCCCCGAAGAAAAGTTAATAGATATTTATGTTCTTTATTAAAATTCTACCGCTTATTATTTATTTTTACCCTTACACAAGAAGTCTCACTAAAGCGAGTTAGTTTAGTAATTTAGTATTGTCTTTAAATTTTCCATCGCTGCTCAAATTAGTTGGCGCCGGGTTGAATAATCATTTCCATCGCCGCTCAAATTAGTTGGCGCCGGGTTAAATAATCATTTTCTTTAAATTTGTATATGAACCACCCTATATACTGAGCTGAGCTAGGCACTTATAACTGTTATTATTTGATGCAGCAAAAGAAACGTAACACTTTCTAATGACTGAGTAATAAGTGTATCAATTTCATCTTCTAATAATTGGACGTACAATTCTCCCGTCAAATTTTCCTCCATAAAAACTTGTTCAAGTAAATACTTTCCTCTTGTCCTGTCGAAACAGGTGAGGATTTTCATTTTCTCAGTACCGACAGTATGTTTATTAACAAAGCCATTTAAATAAAATGTTGGTTCATCAATAAAACAAATATTTTGGACTAAATCTACAGCAAAATTACCAATTACTTCAGTTTGTGAATCTTTGGAATTGTTTTTTTTATCACAAGCAGATCCAGTTCCTTCAAATTTCCGTACTAAATCTACGAATATCTACACTCAACATCTGTAAGTGTGTGCCAGCGAATTAGCGAATTATGTACAGCAGACTACATTAGAGACTAGAGTCGATATTGTCTATTTCTTGCTGATGAGTCCTAATAAGGACGAAACCGGTCCGAGAATGACCTTCTCCTAAGTAATCAAAATCAAAGGTACCTAGTATTAAAAATATTTTCTATCTCTGTTTTTTCTTTTGTTGTAATTAAATACCTAGTGAGGTATTATCCAAACGAGTAGTTGTTTTCAAGAGAAAACGGCCGGTCGTATTATTGTGAAGCATATCTTTAATTTTTTATTTTATTTTAATTTTGGTCACATTTGAGTTTCGAATTATTTCCTTTTTAAAAAATTAGCCCGCATGGCTTATATTCCACTTAGTCTCTGAACTAGGTACTACAGCGACCTTTGATTTTGCTTACTAAGTGCAGATGGCGTTACCATTTTCGTTCGTTAAATATACACATACTCTCAACCTCTGTTAGTAGATTAACAAGGGTGTCACTGGCTCACTACTTGAAAATACGCCGATAGATCGCGCCTTATTCGAAACTTAAATAAATGGTTTGCAACTTGGTTAAGTGCAAATACATGCGTACACGTGAACATAGGTATATACGGGGGACATTCGGCGAGTTCAACTGAAAGATGGCATGACAGATGATAAAACTGGTGGTCGACCTTCTGCGATAACAAAATAAGGAATTAGGGGGGCGCATAAGGAATTCGTATCACAGGGTGACAACATGGTCCATTGGGACCATGGGGAAAATTGGCATCACTATTTAAGTTGTCAGGTGACGTGGCAGACATCGTACAAAAGTACCTAGCGTCTAACTTCAAGAGAAATTGCACAAAAGGACTAGCGTCTAATTCCGTTAAAACTTTATTTTTTAAATTTAATCTTCGATTCTTATAATTTTTGAATATATCATGTGATACAACATGTTTATAATGAATTTGTCAATCAAACGTCATTTTAAAATCGACACAAACTAAAAAGACGTGATAAACATCAAATGAAATGGTGGATCGTGAGGATCATATATTTGAAATCATGTTTGACAAGTATCCATTGGAAAACCAATAAATTGCTGAAAAAAGGCTTTAAATGTATAAAAATCAAAAAGACATGCTTATTCCGTAATAAAAAACTTAAAAATTGATATTAGACATACGTGGAAAAAGATTAAAAGCGATAAGGAAAATTTCAACATTAAGGACCATACCAAGAAACACAAGTATTTTTCCGATGGCAAAAAAGCCTAATAAAGAAACTACAGTTATTTGTATCTCTCAAATGGATCAAGTTATGGATCTGGGGTAAAAAGAATAAGCTGTAACACGTTTTACTTCGATCTCGTGGTAGGTTTAGTTTTTCTGTAACTAAGTTCATTCTGTCATTTCAATAATCAATTATTCAGCTGGTTACTGCGCAAATTTTTTTGTTTCAGCTGTCATCTGTATATCATTTCGTGTTGAATTCCGCTTGCCTT